AGAAAGATCCCCCCACCGGGAGCGATACTACAACTTTTAAAACACCCAAAACACAAGTAGGGCTTGCACAATCTCAAAGTGTGTTCTATAAAATGCATCACAAGACCAAGACGCCGTCAGTCAAGGTTTTTTCTTTCACTAAGGTGCAAAAAATCAATTACCAAGGGGAGGAGGGGGGGAAACAAAATAAAACAAAACATACAGGAAAGCATACATTTTTTGTGCTGAACAACAATATTTCAGAGTAAAGCAGCTGCATGATTGTAAAAACAAGCTACAGTATAACTATATGATAGTAAAAATAATTAGAATTCACTGTTAGTTTGGTTTTTGTTTGTTTTCTAACTTTATACTGAGCTTTTTTTTTTTTCTTTTTTCTTTTTCCTCAAACTTACAGATCCTCGTGTCTTCACTGTACAAAAATATACTAACATTTCTCCAGTCATTTTTGCATCCTTAAACATTCTGAACATCAAAAAGGTTGGAAAGTGCTAAATGAATGTTCTATAATGTGATTTTTTTTTTCTTTTTTTCCCGTTTCTGTTTCTTCTCGCTTCGCTAGACTCCTCAAACTCCAGCATAGGGGGAGTAAAGAGGGGGGGGGGTTTGAGTCCCTTCATGTGGCCCTGAAGCCCTCCCAGCCGTGTACCGCTGTGGCACAAACTACATACAGTATACACATCTGGACACACACCTCACTGTGCAAACACTGGCCCACCAGGTCCCAGGATCAAATAGCACATAGGCTAATGACACACCTACATACTATTTTTTGGAACACGTCTATCAAAAACAGTTTCATACTGAACACGTAAATGGAAATATAAATAATGACTATTTCTATACATTTTATATATGCGCCGCTTCCCCTCACCGCTGACCCGCTCCCCAAACTAAACCTATGCTTTCTGGGCTCCTTCTGCACAGGAAGCTAACCGTGTTGTATTAAGAGATCGGAACCGAACAGACAAAACACCACAAACGTGGGGCGGGTTTCACAAAGCCAGGAAGGTATCACAGGTGCCAAATGAGACGTTACATCCCTCCATTTATAATCTGCCGTTTTAGCTCTCACTCACCAGCCCCATCCTCCCGCTGCACCCCAATTCGTCTAATGCAATTACTCTGTTGAAATCGGAGAACATTAAGTACAAAACAAAGAATACAAAACAACAGAGAGAGAGGGGAGGGGGGAGGGGGGGAGAATAAAGCTATAACCCTGAAGCTGGGTGGCGCCGGACTGCTCATTTAATGACGAAGTACTGGATGACGAAAGCGATGAGGATGGCGATGACGGCAAAAACCATGAGGAGGAGGAAAGCGCACTGCTCGTCCGTCAGGCTCTGTCTGGCTCGGTTGGACTCGGCGCCGGTCCTGGACCCCGAGCCGGCCGCGCTGCCGCTCAGCGCCACGTCGCTCCGCTGGGGGGTGAGGGTCACCGTGGGGCTGTAGGGGCCGCTCAGCTCTGGGGCGTCCTGGCACTGCCTGATGGCGCACACTCGGAAACGGTAGTCGCTGCTGGGCTGCAGGTTCTGGACGTGGAAGGATGTGGCGGCGCCTTTGTAGGCCTGCGAACAGGAAGGGAGACGTGGTTAAAAACTGAATGGAAGACAAGGAAGAGAGCAAAAATCAGGGTTGTTTATGTCTTTTGCTGTAAAGTGTCTGATTTTTTTTAAACATACACAAATGAAGAGTTCATTTGCAAAAACTCCATCTTCACAAACCTCCAGAAAAAACACTTTTCCATCGTCTACCTGAGACAATATCAATCAAACTAAAGTATCTCTATTTGTGTCATGTCATTTCTACTGAGTCAAATCCACTCAACTTCAGTTTGATATGATCTCAAGCAAATAAAAAAAATATGTTTTCTGAAACTCTACAAAAATGGAGTTATGTTTTAAAAATGAACACTTCAACTACATTTTTTTCTTTTTTCATCTGAGACCCAAAACCTGCTGCTTTGTTTGAAATGCAGAATTTGTTTTTCATTTTAACTACTGCAAGAAGAAATATAATTGAATTTCCAACTGTCCTTAAACTATGTGACTTTATGTTTTGTAGCAATAAAAACAACCAAAATATTCTTTCAAATTGGGAAATGTCCTGAAAATCCTTTTATTCTATATGTCTCATTTAAAGATTTGCCAAAAACAAACTTTTTCCGCTTGTCACATTCTGCAAAAAAAATAAAAAAATTCTGTCCTTAGCCATTCCTAACTCAGCTGTGACCAAGAGTCATGTGACTCTCGTGAAATTAAGGGGCTCTTTAGCTGAACTGCAGGCAGTGTTCAGACAGAGCAGACAGGAGACAAGTATGGAAACATGATGAATGAATTCTCTCTACTTTTAGCCGTGATTGTACCGTTTCCACAAAGGTGCAGGGCTTTATATCGTATTACACCCACAGTGAGGAAAACTTACATTTCATCATGAAATAAAGGACGAAAAATACGCTATAAATCAGGCTACTTAAAACAAACTATTGAGTTTATGCTGGACAGTAAAGCTGTAAAAATGCCTCCTGTCTCATGTCCTCTGAACAACTGGATAAAATTTCCTTTCAGCTCTTTACTTTCGGGCATAATAGATGAAAACAAACCGATAAATCCCTCTCTCAGCTTTGTCTATTTGTCATTTAGCAGACTATTTTCTGATTCATTTGTCAGAGTTGTGTTGTTCGGTGCCTTGGAAGAAGTGGGAAGCCATCTGCCTTTGCCGTTTGCCCAGCTGACACACCCACAAGTTTTTCCTGAGCCTTGTGAACCTGATCTGTTTGGTTGCTTTTTGATTCTTTTTACTTGAGCAAACCAACAGTTCTTTTTAAATAGTGAAATTGAGCCTAAAATTGAATTAATCCCATCTTAGAAATTGTAAATTTAATGGAAAAACAACTCTCGGAGACGTGTAGGAGGAGGGGAGCTGCTTTTGTTCAGCTTTAAAATAGCAGAAGTATGAAACTGATTGACTGAAACAATCAAACTCCTATCCTCAGCAAAAGAATAATCCCCTTTTCTTAAACATGGCTGTTTGAATCCAGGCCACTGAGATTGACAGTAAGGAGGGAAACAAACGAGGACGGCGGTCACATATTTCAACTTCCTGATTCAATTGCCACGGATGATGTGGTGAGATTAGCATACGCCTGCAGTGGCCATTATTCCACGTTAACATGGCTGGAGGCCACTAAGAGGGATGAATGTGCTGGCAGGGGCCAGACACCTGGGATACCTCATGGATCAATGACCTTTGCATAATGGGCAATTTGAAGCCAGCGGTGACTAATACGGAACGCTGCGACGCCGCGGCGAAAACATTAAGGCCCCGGATCCATCTGTATCCCGATCTGCATAAAAAGGCCACCGTGATGAATGGCAGGTCAGTCGAAGGTAACAGGGAAGGACGTGAAGCACGGAGAGGGAGTGCCGAACCTTCACAGTACCTGTTTAAACTCTGAATTTCCCATCATGCACTGCAAGGTGTAGATCACCGGGTCTCCCTTCATGGGCAGTAGGGCCTCCCATGTGACTTCGCACGAGTTGTCATCCAGACGCTCCACTTTAGGGGCTGCAGGGGGAGAGAGAGAGAGTAATGAAATATGTGCAACAAATCGTCTTTAAAACAAGAGATTCAGTCGGATCAAGAACGCGTCATTTTCTAATGAAGAGGAGGAATGTGAGTGACTGTACATTTACTTCATGTGTCATAACATTAACAAGCGTACATGCAAACAGCAAGAGCAGCTCTTGTTAGGATTCATCGACATTATTTGAGGAGGTTGACACGTTAACCAAAACTACTAAAACTGCTAATTGAATCATCTATCAATTACTGAAATGAGAAATTGACTACTTAGATAATGAAGTGCGAAATCACTAAACACCTCTTGTTAAGGTATCAGCTTTTAAATGCAGCTTGAGGCAATATTAGGAATTAACTAAGAACAAAGATTAAATTCTCATTGTGCCGATGAGTGTGTGTGTGTGTGTGTTTTTTTTGTGTGATTTATATAAAGTGCTGCTACAACTCTGCAATTACCGATACTTGGCTTTATTATTTTGTGTTGAAAGGTTGTTAAACACAGTAAGTGGGAACGAATGGAGCACACTGTCGGACTGCAGGAAGGTGGTTCAAGCATTTATATTATCTGTTAACACGGAAACATACACACGATGCCACCAACTCATCGACAATTAGATTTGCTGGCAACTAATTTGGATTTTTTCTATATTGATTATTCACTGCATCTCTCGGTTGTCTGTCTCTCAGTGTGGCCCTGTGATAGACTGGTGACCTGTCCAGGGTGTCCCCTGCCTTCGCCCTAAGTCGGCTGGGATAGACTCCAGCGCCCCCACGACCCTAATGAGGATGAAGCGGTGTATAGATAATGGATGGATCTCTATCATAAACACGAGCCTAATTCAAAAAACACATGACTGCCATTGAGATGTGAGAGAAGGTACTTTGGGGAAAAATATTTACAATACTATTTAATTTAACGTCGACATGATGTGAAATCTACAGAGGACGAACTTAAAACCAACCGTATATGTATAAGTTCAATGTAGCTGTACCTGTGTTAGCATCCCGAACATTAAAAGACTAAAAAAATAAAAAAATCTAAAATAAAAAAAAATAGCAAAAATGACTAATAATAATAGTTTTCATATGTAAAATAATACGCCACTTGTACTGAATAGGATCTTTAGGGGGATTTCTGAACGAGGGACTGCTACAGAAACTCCTTGATTTAATATGAGAGTACTTGCTCTGATAAGAACAGTGACTCAGCTGATGGATTAAGAGTGAATTCTAGACGACTACATGCGACTTCGCCTCATTAGCGGAGTAACAGTAGCAGCTATGAGTCACGCTCTTCTTTAGGTAGGTGGCACTTTGTGCACAAACTACAAAAATACGTGGTTGTTCTGAACTGGCAAAGTGCCCCGGTAATCATAAAAAAAAAACAGGTTTTGGCGTTATAATATTAGACTTTAGACTTAATGCTGAAATGGTTAGTCTAAATTCAAACAGTTTATATTTGAGAGTCCACTTCAGTGTGTGGGGAGACAAGCGGTGTTGAGTAACACCGACGATCTGGCATATGACTGCCTGATTCAACAGAGGTGCCGCACTGAGAATAAAGCCTACGTCCTCATTACTGACTTCAACGCGTGGGATCAAAAGAGGCTTTGCCGAGGCGGCGGAGACCAGACCACAGCGCTGAACAGCCCGACTCGTGATGACAGCCGACAAGTGAATCTGAGGCTGCTGGATTTTTTTTTTTTTTTTTTTACTCAAATGCAAGTCAAGCTTGGGGCAACCGAGGTTAAAAGCTGAGCACACTGGCTGTCAGCAGTGAGTGTTTGTAAAGATAATAAGAACTATTACACACAAGACACGCAAAAAGAAAGAGTGAGGGGAACAAAATAAATAAATAAAGACAGAAACAGAAGCAGGAACAAAAGGAGGAAAACTGGCACTGTACCTTTGAGGGGGGCTGGAGGAGAGCGTGGGGTGGTGAATGTGTAAACATTGGAGAAGGGCCCTTCGCCCGCCTCATTAAAGGCCTGGATGCGGAAAGTGTAAGAGGTAGACTCATTAAGCCTCTGGACTTTGTGAGTGTGGCATGGTCCTTTATACAAGGATATAAATCTGCAATGACAGGAACACGAAAAAAAAAAAAAAAGAGAGAGAGAACGGATTTAATGAGCAAAGGGTAAATATGACAAAAAGCAAATGAGACGAGAGGCTCCTCTGTCAGGAAATGTACAGCGGCATAAAGCAGATCATCAGTTTCTGTCTGGTGCGTTAGTTCCTACGCCCTCCTGGATACAGTTATCTGAAGCTTTTGCTCAAACTCCAGTCTCCGCTCTTATCGCTTCATCTCCTGTCAGGTCACTTCCCCGTCCGCTGACTAATGGGCCACTGACCTGCCGCTCTTGTCCCCCATCTGCAGCTGATACTGGAGGGCGTCTGAGGTGGCGGCTTTGGCTGGGCCGTCGCCCCACTTGAGCCTGAGGGTCTGGTGGCTGAAGGCGGTGCACTCCAGGCGGGGGGGCTGAGGGGGCAGGGGCTTCGTCTTCAGCTTAAAGGTGTGACTAAAGGGGCCTGCTCCCAGGCTATTCAGGGCTTGGATTCGGATCCTGAGGAGGAAGAAGAAGAAGGAGGAGAGATTTAACAACATCAGAGAGCTGCCAAAACTGAGCTTACCTGAGCAGAAATACTGCAGCGACTGTCAAAGAGGCATTAACAGTATTTCATCTCATTGGCAAGAAGGCTGTGTTCAGCATCTGTCAATGTACGGCAACGTGTTTAATTCTGATTCAGCTCCGTATCTGGTTTGCGACACACTGGTGAAGTCAGCCAATTAATCCAGCCTCGATCCTTGTTTCATTATGAGTCCAACATCTAGAGCTTCCAGACTGAACTGTATCACCAACACAGTGCTGCGACAGCTCTAAATAAATGGCACTAATTCAAATAAATCCAGTGTGAACGACATTTCAGATGAATAAGAGTGTCTTTGAATATGAATCTGTAATGGCTACTTTATTTAACGCTGCATAATTTGGGTTTCCTGTAAGAAACCAGCAGCTTTATGATCCTGAATCACAGATACAGGGAGGTCACCTGCCTGAAATAAAGATTTCGGTGTCAGGTCTGGACTGTGTCTGTTTTGTAAAATGCTGCCAGGACTGTGCACAACGGCCTGGGTTTATAAACGTAATTATATTTTACTTCAGCTGTTCCCTTTGGCATCCTTTGTTACAAGCGAGTTAATATACAAGCTCAGTGTGCGTCGAATTGATTTGTATCACATTTTATGTCTATGGAGCACTTTCAAATCCGTTAGCTCCCGTTGACATCTGAAAAGCTCAGAGGTGTGTCGTACATCATGATGCGACATTGGGAATTTTCAGTGAGGAAGCGCCGACCTGTAGCTGGTGTCAGGCTGCAGATGCTGGATGATGTGTTTGGTGACGGGACCGACGACGACGGGCTGCCGCTCTCCGAGGTCGATCAGGTAGGAAGTGATCTCAGAGCCGTGATCACACGGATGATCCCAGCAGATACCCAGGCAAGTGGATGGAGAGTAAACCGGTGGGGGCCGGGAACAGCCATCCTCCTCCTCTTCTTCGTCTTCGTCCGCATCCACCGGAGTCTCGTACCTCAGCAGCTCGGACTCCTTCAGCACGTAGATGTTGCTGACAGCTGCAGGCACCGAGCAGGGCGTCTGGCAAAGCACCGCTTCGCTGAAGAGCCCCACGCCGGCCACGTTCACAGCCTGCACAACAACGAAACACAAGACTGAGTCAACTCTCGCTTGTGACACGGACAGACACGTGTGCAGCACCCATTTTTGACCACAAGGTGGAGTTCCAATGTAAACATAACTGGTAAGGATTTCAA